GGCCTGATTTACTCAATAATTACTCCTTTATTATAAATAATAGAAAAAAATGGTTCAGGACTTTTCGACTCAGTTTTACTCCTTCTACCTGCCTACGAGAGATTGTACGGCAATTCTGGGACACCCTGTATATGTTACGAGTGACTAAATGTCAATTTAAAATATCGATACTTTTGTAGCGACAAGACCGAATTCTGTGCAATCCGTACAACCTCATGTGACGCCTGGTAATGTGTTGTATACATACGTTTGTTTATTTACTTATATTACTTGTTCAAAACCTCTGTCAAAATTTAATATATCTTAAACAGGTCCTACTGCACCATCTTCCGGTAAGAGTAGATCAAGTTCGCCTTCTACAAATTCTGGAAAAACATGGGCTGACGTCGCAGCTGGAGGTAGTAGACCAGCTTCACCAGGCGGGAATGAACAAAGAAGTGTACCGGAAAGACCGACACAGTCTAGTCAATCCAATCGTCCAGCATCATCAGAAAGTACATTATTGAGTGGAGTTGGAACTGCAGATTTAAATAAGAGAACATATTCGAGTAATCCAACGTATAGTAAAGGAAATACAGTTACTGACGAAGATTTAGAAAAGCTTTCCGAGGCACTTTACATCAAAGAGACCAACAACAATGCGAACCAATATGTAACACTTAATTTGCAACAAAAAACAACCAGCAGCAGTCCTACTGATCAAGCTCCGCAGTCGTAAAGAAATCACATTTAAAAAGAAAAACAATTTTTTTTTTTAATTAGTTAAATCTTAATCGATATAACTTATTTACTCAGTATACAACAGTATATCAAACAATAATGTTATTGATGAAATTACTAAAAATGTATGTGTGTGTTTGCAGGCTGCTTACGGTAAATCCTCAAGCGTTCCAGATTTCTACGATTCAGAGGGTTCTCTCTATATTTGACAATTATCAGTTAGACACTCATACGAACGAGTATATCAGTCCCGCACAAAGAGAAGAAGAGAGTCTTCTCGTTGACACCTTTCTAAGCACAAACGTGATGTCTACTGCTATGCGTTTTCTCGCGGACAAAGGATTCGTGAGGAAAGATTATTACGAATATAAAGATACATTGAGAAGAATTTGGTTCAATTTGTTTTCGCGTGGGCAGGGCAAGATCGGTAGCACCGGATTTGAACACGTCTTTATGGCGGAAACGAAACAAATAGATACAGGCACAGAAGTGCTTGGACTGCACAACTGGATTTATTTTAATGCAGAAGAGACCAAGAGACGCGTCGACTATCTAGGTTACATCAAAAAAATTGATTTAGGAAATGTGAGGAACATAATTTTTATAACGGAGTTTATATTATTATTACGTACAGAGATTTTAACTACATTAACATTCAGTGATTTAAAACAGAAGGGACAATTAATTTAATGTAATATAATAAAATAATGAACACAATTTTAACGCACTTTTGTTTTGTAGAAGGGGTCCATTATCAAGATGCACGCGAGATTCAATGGTCATGACAAACCGGTCACAACTATGTTTATCGGAACTTCACCAGAACTGGAGATGGCACTTTACACTCTATGTTTCTATACGAGACCAGATGGTAATTGTCCGGTATCTTTGGGTGGTACGAAGTTTAATATCGTAACACGCGCGTTTAGATATAGAGGAAAAAATTTGATTGGAACAGCGTACCCGGATATTTAAGTTCTGTGTAAATGGACTATATACGTGTATATATACATGTGTACAATTGTATGAAAAACTTCCACTATAAAAATATAGAAATTTTAGTTAATTCTCTCATCTATCTAGGTTAAATAAAATATTCTTGCTATATATATTAATAGAAAAGATTTTGTGTTTCTGTTAATTGTAAGAATAAATAATAAAAAATAAATAAATTGTTAAATTTATTTTACCTGTTTATTATTTGAAATGCTAATTATATCTCTTAGATATGTATTTTCGGATTGAAATCAATTTAAATTTCTAAGTGTATTAATTTACACGCTTAAAAATATATTTGCATGTATGTACATTTAGCGTATTGGCTCGTATTGATCGTAAACTGTTAGGTGAATATCATCACGAATTTGAATTTGTTAAAATTTTTATTCTTATGATATTCGTTATGTGTAGGGAAAAAAAAGATAAATATATATAAATTGTTTTACGTAGCAAAAAGAGAACTTCTGGTAATATTAATTCATATTAGAGCAAAACGCGAAAAGGAAAAGACAATAAAATACTACTAAAGCTTTAAATGTTATTCAGACACAGTTAATCGAAGAAGCCAGATATAGATAAAGCATGTAAACAGATAAGCAATGTATGTAACAGAGTGATACGTGTAACATTAGATGAGAGTTTTTTTTTCACGTGGAGGGGAGAATTGCCTCTCTCGTCTTGTATGAATCTTATCTTACGCCGTATTCGATAGTGTGACACAATGCACGCAATTGAAACGTACGTGTTAAAGAACAGAAACAGGCGCTTTCGATGGAGATGGCTAGCTCATCGTATTACAAACATCAAGTTATATCACAGCAAAACTGGCGTTTACGGATATAAACCGAGTAAATCGAGACATTTCGAAGGTATGTGAGAAAGTAGATTGATACTCTGCAAAGTTATTCTGTATTTAACAAATTTTATATTTTTAGTGTCGAAAGAATATTTGAATAACCGAGCAAAACAGAGTAATTTTTATAGATTAGTCGACGCGTACAGAACTCACGGACATAAGCAAGCTGACGTAAATCCGATTTCAACAATCAAGCCGTCATTATTAGCGGAATTACAGCCAAAGTATTTCGGATTGAATTTAATAGACAAGATCAGTTATCAAGGGATTTTGTTTGCACAGCAAAAAGAAGGAACAATAGAAGAAGCTGTTCAATTTTTAAATGCTACCTATTGTGGTAGTATTGCAACGGAATTTAGTTATCTCGAGGTAATGTTCTATAAATATTATAGAGAGATCAAATTAAAAGAAGTATTGCAATTAATTTTTAATTGAACTAAAAAACTAAGAAAACAACTAAAATTCAAAAAGGTTTTTTGAATATTACTCCGTTCTAATTGCTTAAAAAAATGTATTAAAAGAATGAAGAAATTGTTGTCTCTATCGTGATATATGTATACGTACATATATGTATATATATATATATATATATGTACTAATTTTTGCAAGATTGATATAGAAATAAATGTGGCAAGAAATATCGTTCTTTCAGACGGAAGAAGAAAGAGAATGGTTCGCCGAAACTGTAGAAAGAACTGTGACCGAACCATTGGACGATGAAACACGCAGAACAATAGCTATGGAAATGATAAAAAGCCAAGTTTTTGATAACTTTTTAGCCGTAAAGTTCGTAAGTTTAAAGAGATATGGAGGAGAGGGAGCCGAGAGCATGATGGCGTTTTTCTATGAATTGTTCAAACTTTGTGCTTGTGGTTAGTTTTATTGAAATTCGCTCTCTCGATACGCTTATATATACATATTTTACCTTGTCGCAAAAAAATCTCGTTGTGATCGTTATTGACATACTAGATAATTTGGAACACATGATTCTTGGCTCGCCACATCGCGGTCGCCTCAATCTATTAACAGGATTACTAAATTTTCCTGCGGAAAAATTGTTTCGCAAACTACGAGGCCACTCCGAATTTTTGAGCGCAACCAAGTGCACCGGAGACGTTATTAGTCATCTCGTAAGTTCTACCGATCTCAATATAGAGAGAAAAAGTCTCCATGTAACGATGCTCCGAAATCCATCGCATTTGGAAATAGTAAATCCAGTATCAATGGGGAAAACACGAGCAGTCATGCAGACGATTAAAGAAGGCGCTTATACCGAAGATGAACACACCCAATGGAGCGATAAAGCAATAAATGTTCAGGTAAGTTAAAGCTAATTAATGGAATAAGTTATTAATCGTAAATAAACCTGTAATTCTTCTTAGTATGTATAAACGGTGTGCTCGCGCAGGTCGAGCGCCACTTCGTTGCGCGTGAACTTGGCGCGAGGCACTACCGTGCCTCTTGATATTAAAATTCTTGTATTTGGAGTACTAATTTTAAAATTCTAATATCATTACATTTTACGCGTACAATTATATATAATTGTATAATTTATAGAGCATTAAAAAAAATATTTAGAATTTCCTTAGATGCACGGTGACGCTGCTTATCCGGGACAAGGAGTTAATCAAGAGTGTCTGGCTTTGAGCAAAACACCCCATTTTGAAATTGGTGGTACAATTCATTTGGTAATTAACAATCAATTGGGCTTTACAACTCCTTCGTCGAGAAGTCGATCGTCAAGATATTGCACGGATTTAGCAAAATTTATATCCGCGCCTGTAATTCACGTAAACGGTGACGATCCTGAGGTAAAATTTTGTCACTGCTAGTATCAGATCAATATCAAATAGTCGTAATAAACATGTAGGAATTTTACGATGCTCTGCGATGATGTTATAGATGGTCGTACGAGCTGCAAGAATAGCGTTTAAATATCAGAGACAATTTAGAAAGGACGTTTTCGTTGATTTAATCTGTTTTAGAAGATGGGGTCATAACGAATTAGATGATCCTACCATTACCAATCCTATTATGTATAAAATCATACAAAATCGACCGTAAGTAAACGCAATAAAAAATATGTAACGCAATAAATGTAGATCAAAAATCTGTGAAAAACATTTTTTTTTTTTTTTAATTCAGATCGATACCAGATCGATATACGGAAAAACTAACAAGTTCCAGTATTCTGACTCGAGAAAGCGTGAAAAATATCACTGAAAGTCACATCACATGGTTGAATAAAGCTCTGAAAGAATCTGCGAAAAATGCATCGAAAGAGTCGCTCATGTATCTTGGTAGGTGGACAGGAATAAAACAAGCTGAAGACAATGTGACACAATGGGACACTGGCGTGGAGTTGGACTTGTTAAAATATATTGGAAACAAGAGCGTCCAAGTGCCACCAAACTTTGTAAGAATCCACAAGTCGATAAAAGATCAATTTTATATAATTCCTTTGTCTTACAATTCTTTTTTTTATGTAACATCGAAGAACATTCATCCGCAATTAATGAAAAATTACGTTCAAAATCGTATAAAAAAAATAAAAAGCGGTAACGCTTTGGATTGGGCAACTGCTGAGGCACTAGCCATCGGTTCTTTATTACATCAAGGATATAATGTAAGAATAAGTGGGCAGGACGTGGGCCGTGGAACTTTTTCACAGAGACACGCAATGCTCGTTGATCAATCTACGGAAGGTATATTGTCAAATTTCAGTAATTTTCTAAATTTTTTCCCCTCCATAATCACATTGTAGTGGTACACAAATTTATGAAATATTTTTTCGCAATACGATATTGTAGCTATTTTCATCCCCTTAAATTCTATGAGTGATAGTCAAACTGGGAAACTAGAGGTAGCTAACAGCATTCTGTCCGAGGAAGCTGTTCTTGGTTTCGAGTATGGTGTAAGTATAACGTCACCGTTTACCTTGTCCATTTGGGAGGCTCAGTTCGGAGATTTTTTCAACGGAGCCCAAGTCGTTATCGATACGTACGTAACGAATGGAGAAGCGAAATGGATGCTGAGCAGCGGATTAACAATGCTTTTACCGCATGGATACGACGGTGCTGGTCCGGAACATAGTTCGTGCAGACTCGAAAGATTTCTGCAATTGACCGATAGTAAAGAAAATACAGTCGATAGTGACGATGTAAATATACAAGTTGTAAATCCTACTGAACCAGCACAGTATTTTCATCTACTAAGAAGGCAGGTAAGAACATAGACATTTCACCACTGGCCATTATATATGTACATTGTATATGTACGTATAAAAAAGTAGGAGACAAATTTTTTAATCAAATTAAAAAAACGTTTCGGTTTAATAGATGGTACGAAATTATCGAAAGCCTCTAATGTTAGTAGCACCTAAGATTTTGTTGCGACATCCGGCCGCGATATCACCTTTGTCGGATTTTAAACCTGGAAGAAGTTTTAAAACTGTTATCGGTACGTGTGTTGTACTTTTCCTTTTCTCTGTTTTCAAAAAAATATAAATAACAAATTTTTATAGAAGATAATAAAGTAGAAGCTAGCAATGTAACCAAAGTTATACTAGTCAGTGGAAAACACTATTACGCGCTTGACAATTATCGAGAAAGTATCGGAAACAAAGATGCAGCAATTATCAGAATAGAAAGTCTGTGTCCATTTCCTGTACAGGAACTATTGAAAAAAATTGAAAAATACAAAAATGCGAGAAGTAAGTTGAAAAAAAAAAGAATTTAATTATTTACTGCAATAATAATATATCACATATTGTAATATAATTTGAAAAAATCTCTAATTAACAAATCTACTATATATAAACATGCAAATAAATAGCACCGTTGGGAACTAATCACGTTTACGTTTTTCAGCTTTCGTTTGGAGCCAAGAAGAACCGCGAAATATGGGCGCGTGGAGTTTCGTTAAAACACGTTTTGAGAATTTGTGTGGAAGACATGTACGTGATATCGAGTTATAAAAAAATTGCCACTCAATAGTTTGTTAATTATTTGATAGTAAACTATACATACACATGTGTGTATAAATTATTTAATAAATTAATCACTACAATAACTATTTTTAGATAAAATATTGCGGCCGAAAAGCCATGGCAGCACCAGCTGTCGGAGACGGACAAGCCCATCAGCAAGAAGCTAACGAAGTCATTATTAAACCGTTTACAACTGAATAAATTTTTACCACTTTTTTATCTTAATTACATGATATATGTATATACTTGGAAACTGTGATGAAAAAAATAAAATGTTATTTCGTATGTTTTTTTTTATTTCACCATGAAATATATAACACTCTTGTGAGATTTCTTAAACAGGTACTGTTCAAATATAAATGAGGAGAAAAGCTAAGTTAACAAACAAATGCCCTAAAATGTCCTAAAATGTTTATATATTGTTACTTATAAGTAAATAAATTGATCAACGATTGTACACTCTTTAGTCAATTACATTATATAGATTCTAATGTGAAAAGTGTTGTTGAACAATATTTTTAAGATCTTTTTTTAACTTAAATCTTTACCTCTTTTGACATTTTCTTGAGATAATGCAAATGTCAATAAAACGATGATTTCGTGTTTTCTTAACAGAGAAATCCATTTGTTATTACAGTTCAATCAATTTACTTTTCACTAGTAGTTTTTTCTTTTTTATTTAATTTTTCGTGTTCTTTCTGCACAAGAGTTCGCAATTCATCCTAAAAAATATTAAAACATTTTTAGCATCATTAAAGATTATTTCTATATTAAAAAAAACCTTGAAAAATGTAAAATTTTACCCCCCAACCGAGTTTATCTGCAAGCAGTTGACAACCTGTGTCACAATCGCCCAACCAAGCTACATCGCGTCCTCCGTGAGCGCTCTTTGTATCGAATACTAAACCTTGTCGCAATCCTAGAAGTCGTGACAAACGATCTTGCATACCTACTTTCTCGTTGTTGATAAGCAGACGTGGACAGGTAGCACGTACTCTAAGAAAAAGGTAATTTTATAACTTGTGTCTGTATATGCAAGCGCATATGTAATACATAAAAAAGAAACTATATTATTAGGTTTTGTTTTTATTATACGTACCTATCTACCAACGATGCAAAAGGCTGTACAACCAAACTTGATCCCATAATAATCAAAAGATCGGCGTTAACGAAATCCCGATCAGCAAGATCTCTGAAGCGGTCAGGTAACATTTCGCCAAAAAAAATTATGTCAGGTTTTACAACGCCTTTGTTACATTCTTCACACTTCGGTATCAAACCTTCTATTATTTTTTCTGTTATTTAAAATTTTATCAATTATTTGTTGTGATTGTTGTTCAGCAAAAATTAGAAATATTGCAAAGCACCTTTCATCCATTCAAGTGTATATGGAGCTCGACAAGTCAAACAACGACCTGTGTGAAATGTTCCGTGAGCTTCCACTAGTTTTTCCGAAGGTAGTCCAGCAACACGTTCCAACGTATCAATATTTTGCGTATAATGTCGTAACAGTAGACCTTTCAGCAAATATTCCGTTTCATAAAGTCATGTTTAATGATAATGACCCTGAGATGTGTTAAGTTCATGACTCCGAAAAACGTTCTTAATTTCTCAAAACTTAGGTCATAGCATCTAATATTTGTTCTACCGCCATCATCTTTATTATAGCTAACTACTATTTTAATTATAGCACCAAAGTAGCAATTAAAACCTGAACGTTACTGAGGGTCATGATCTAGACAACATATATACGTACGTATTTACCAACCTTTCTCCCATAGCATACGAATGAAATAATGGCTGATTGTTGGTTTAAAACCTTCTGGCAATAACTCTCTCGCAAGTGTAAAAAATGGTTCTGGATTTTTCATAAAAAAATCTAATTCAAAGATAGCTTGAGGATGAGGTAAATTATATTTATCTAGTTTGTGATACAATCCACTAGATGGGGAACGAAAGTCTGGTATTCCAGCAGCTGTAAAAAAGAATGTAAATTTTGTAATATTATTATATTTAATATATGACTACTACTTCACGCAAGCTTGACAATACATATTAGAAACAATTGAGAAATTAATTTTTATTAAATATATCTTGTATTTATACTCACAAGTAGAAATTCCAGCACCTGCCATAGTAATAATTCTGCAATTGGATTTTTTTTTTATATACTCCACAATTCCATCCAAATTAAGCTCGTGAAGAATTTTTTGTTGCGATTGGTCATTCTGATCATTTTCTGAGAAATCAACAAGTCTTAACTTTTGTGCAAGAAATTTGCGTAGTCTTTCCATGTCGTCCTTTACCTCTGAAGACTCAGGAGAAGTACTTTCTTCTTCTGAATTATCATCTAGAATACACAAAAGAGATTTTCAAGACACATATTTATTTTACTTTGACTAAAATTGCTTTAAATTGTCAGAAAAATAATATTGACATTTGGCTTGATATGTTCTATCTAACTTGACCCACTGTAATTCAATTAAATCATTAACCTTGCAGACTCTAAAGTGTTCTAAATCACCTTTTTATACTAAGTTTATATACATATATATATATATATATATACATAAATGCACATCTCAGAGTATAATGTATTGCAATACAAGTAAAGGATTAAAACACATGTAAATTATAATAACTAAAAATAATTTTTTATGTTTAGATATATACGTGCCTCTCACAGACACACCATATCCTCCAATATGTACATGAAGTTTTTAACTATTTCTTACTCACACATGCCCAATTTCTTCTGCTAGACTTTTTATTCACTCTTCATAATTCTTGAGAAAAGATGTAAAAAGAGTTACTTTACCTTTTCGTTTCTCTTCAGTCGATGTATTGTCCATATTACAAGTCAATGCTACAATACGATTAACGTATGATTTGCAAAATGTAATCTATTGACAAGAAAAAAAGATATATCGATGATTTATTTATTCACTTTACGAATGTATAAATGTCTACATTATATACTAACAGAAAACTTACAGCAACCGAAATGTATGCGGTGTAACACCATATGTAATTAAGTAAAATAAAAATTATTTTTCTTTGAGAGACACGTCAGTTTATATACTTTTTTACATACATTATTTATATATTTATATGTATAGCATGTACAAAGTACAAATATACAAATAGAACGTTTGGTTGGTGCAGAGTTTTCGTCACAAGTACTATGTAGGCTGTGTTCTGGGTTACGTTCCAAACCCTACTTTGGTTATCAAAATACTATATTTCACGTCACGTGTTCTATAATTTTTGATTACCAAGATAGTATTTTGGAACGTATTCTTGATATTCACTGCCAGTACTTGAAATCTATAGAATATGTAACGTGAAATATAGAATTTTAGTACCATATAACAGCAAATATCGAAACGCATCTTTGGCTGCGGTTCGTTTCATGCTTGGCTGCGGTCCGTTTCATGCTTAATCGCGCATTTATCTGTAGTATATGTCACGTATACTGTAGATAAATGTGCGCTTAAGCATGAAACGGACCGCAGCCCTTAAGTGCACATTTATCTATAGTATACGTGACATATACTACAGATAAATGCGCGATTAAGCATGAAACGAACCGCAGCCTTTAAAGAGCCGTCTACAATGGAGAGTTGTAGGCCGTAATAGTAAGAAATTGACCAATCACAGACAAAGTACAGAAGAATAATCGATTGTGATTTGTCAGTTTCTTACTGTTACAGTCTAAAACTGACAAATCACAATCGATTATTCTTCTGTACTTTGTCTGTGATTGGTCAATTTCTTACTATTACGGCCTACAACTCTCCATTGTAGACGGTTCTTTATGTGTGATGGTCTTTATGTAGATTTTTCAAGTTAGGCTTATATCACATTCCTGCGTTTTTGGAAAAATAGCAAGGATGAAGAAGAATGAAAGAGATTAAGGGATGATGGCAGGTTAGACGGTATGAAATAGTAGGCCCTGATCCATAGACTTATATATAAATAGACCCAGCGTTCTGTGAGAGGAGTTGTCCGCGTCTTCTAAAGGACGGAACGATATGCATCCAGGTGCTGTCTCCGTCGCTCCGCCGTTCTGGAGGGGGAACGTCGATGGATAACGTTGAAGGAAAGCGAACTTAAAGGCGCGTGTACCGCACTTATATGTGTAATAGGGTTAGGTTAGGTTACACGGAAAAAGACACAGAAAATGTCTCAGTGTTGCATTTGCAAATCGCATTGTGGCTCCCATGCAGATATTACATTTCATACGTACGTAAATAACTTTGAATTGCAGTAAAAATAGTTACATCTAACCAACAATCTATATATAATAATAGAAACTTTTTTTTCAAGCATACCACGGTCAGAAGAATTTCGAGCAAAACACATATAAGTGCGGTACACGCGCCTTTAAGTTCGCTTTCCTTCAACGTTATCCATCGACGTTCCCCCTCCAGACCGGCGGAGCGACGGAGACAGCACCTGGATGCATATCGTTCCGTCCTTTAGAAGACGCGGACAACTCCTCTCACAGAACGCTGGGTCTATTTATATATAAGTCTATGCCCTGATCCCACCACAGACCACCACAGACATTGGTCTAGTTTCCACCGAAACCCTCAACTTCGGTACAGATCAAATTTAGTGTTGCGTTTCCATTGGAAGTAGAGTACTTATAGATCAAAGCGGAAGCGAAATCAGCGCAATTTGACAGGTTTCCATCGACTTAAATTTGATTCTACGTCGCATTAGATGTGAATTAATGCTTCGGTGGAAACTAGACCATTGATAGACAGAGAGAGAGAGAGAGTTACTCTTCAAAGTATGTTTTTTTGTCAACTGTAAAGACATCTTTTTAGCCAAACGCGCAGTTTGTATATAATTGAGACGCTTGAAAGACTGCTGTGATTGTAAAGTATTGAGAGATAAAATATTTGTAACTAATCTTATAGTTTCATAGTTGTATAGTTATGTAGCTTTATAGTTTATAATAGTATAATTTTATAATCTGGCAAATTAAAAGGTTTATAAAGTTTGTAATATTCGTAATGTAGAATGGGCTATGCAGATAGTGCTAATAAGGATGTATGAATGAATGGATGAATGAATACATACGCGAGAAATAATTTATAGAGAATTGTAAACCAAGTCCCCTTGGCAAAAAAAGCTTAAGTAATAAACTATACTATACTTTTCACGTTATAAATTATAGTTTGCATCATATGTATACACACACACGTTACGTGTAAAATATGTATATATATATATATATTTTTTTTTTTTTTGTGTCTCTAATAAAATTATATACATCTGTTAATCCCAATATTTGATTTTGCCGTCCCAACTAGCAGTAGCGAGTCTTGAAGGTTCGTGTGGATGCCACAACACATCAATGCACACCCCGTCATGTGCTTTCCATTTTTTGTACAATTTAGTAGTTTTCCAGTCCCAGATATAACACCTGCCGTCTGCATCGCCCGATACCAAGTAACTAAAATGGAATTTAAATGTAGACCGTAAAAAGATGATTATACGTAAATTATTTTTACGTATGTATTCACGCATGTATTCATACAGATATATCTTATACAAAAAAATTTATAATTGATAAATGAGTTTTTCTTTTACATAACATACCTCATATCTGGTGAAAAATCCAAGCCACACGCATATCCAGCGACCATGTGGCCCGTGAAGGTCTTTTTTCTATTCATTTTAAATCTGTTCAATGCTGAGAATATAACAATCTTATTGTCCATACTTTGGCAGGCAAGCCATTTCTGATTTCGCGATGGCGTTACCGCTGGCATAGAATGCATAGATGGGTCAGCTATGTATTTCATATCGACTGGAATATCCCTGTGGAAAAAAAAAAAAAAAAAACATTTTTAGTATACTAAATTAATCTTATTTCTTTTCAAAATAACATCTCTTTACAAAAGATCGCACCATTCCCAAACCCGAAGGCTTTTATCGTCACTAGTGGTAACAAATCTTCTATTTTCGTCGACAAACGTAATGGTGTTCACGGCGCCTAAGTGACGATCATATTCCTGTGTTATCTCACCCGTTCTTATGTCCCACTAAAATAAAATATTTGGTCATTCAAATATATTTTTTAATTCAACTATGATTCCGAACAATGTGTACTCACACAAATAATTTTCTTGTCGCTGGTACCAGCTACAAAGAGATGTTGTTTGTCCGGATCGGGATTGAATTTTGCACAGTAAGGAATTTTCCGACTTGTAAAACGACTGATACAAGCGCCGGTCTCTGTATCCCAGAGTTTCACATATCGATCATAAGCAGCCGATAAAAATCTCTTGCCGTCGTTGTCAAAACTAATATCGCGTACCGCTTGACGATGACCATAGTACGTCCTGACGCATCTCCTATCTTTGTAAACTTCCCACAACTGTTAATAAGATACATGATTTTAAATTTGCAATTTGTTATTTTTTGATTACATTATTTAGCAATATGCATACAAAATACCTTTACTCGGCAATCCATGCTACAAGATAGCAACAAGTGTGCTGTTTGAGGAAACCATCGAATTTGTGAAATACCCTTTGTGTGACCTTCCCATACATGTATTTGTGTCTTTGGTAAAAAGCAACGTTCAGGCGGCGATTCTGATCTGAGATTTACACCCACATCCTGAGGTGCGTGCAAGAACGAGCGTCCTTGATAATCGACACTGTCTTTGACTGAAAAGTGTATACACATGTGAGAAATAACACACAGTATAGAGTTTACTAATGTATTCGTTAAAATAGTTTTGAGAACAATATTTATAAAGACATTACTATGTAATACTGTTTTCTCTTCCAATGGTTTTTCTTCTGTCTGTTTTCCACGTTTATTTCGTTTAGCTAGAATTTCTTCTAACTCTGCAGCTTCTTCTTCAGTTGGTTTTATTACTCGTTTTTCGTCAACAAATCCACCCCATGGTCCAACAAAACCCTCTATATCAGATGGATCATCGTTTTTGTGTCTTTTTCTCTTATCTGATGGTCTCAGAGCAGTACTTTCGAAAACAGTCTTTGCTCCTGATTCTTCTGCAACTTCTTTTGCACCAATTATTACTTTACCTTCATCTGAACTTCCATCTACAGTTGGATCCAATGCATAACCTATAAAGATACATTTAAAAAATTTTCAAGATATGATATTATTTAAATATTTGTAAATATTATTTTATATTTAATCTATATTTTAAATTACATTTTTAAGAATATCAACTGTATATTACCATAACTAGCAAATGTCCTCCTTTGATTTTCAAATTGAAATTCACTTATATGAGCACGTTCTACATATCCTGAAAGAATATTTTTTACTGCCCGCTGTTGTTGAGTTTTGAAGGGATTTTCTGGTCCAACTTCTGGTCCAAAGAGTTCCTCATACTTTGGATTATGTATAACTTCTTTTGTAGTAGGATCGATATGCTTTATACACAATTCTGTTCCCTGTGTAATTATATATGAAATAAGTTATATTATGTATTATTTGATAGATTATCTCTCTCTTTTTGTGTCAATATATATATATATATATGTGTGTTATTTTATTTAAAATAAATTTTCAAATTGTTTATAATCTCTAAAATTGGCAAATAACCTTTATTGCCGAAAAAGAAAGCACACTTCAAATCACAAGTACAACCTTCTAATAGCTTTCAAAAAATACATTAACAGTATAAAAAATACATTATTACTAGAATACTTACAGTAGGTACTACTTCCGGAGCAGAACAAATTTGTAAACTTGATGTCGTTAATTTACCAAAATCATTTTCAGAAGATAGTTTAATACTTTCACTGTCACTATTTTCGTCGCTGCTTCCGTAATCTTGTATCGCAAGCATTTTTTAATATATAAAATCATATACGTAAACTAAGATTTGAGACCAATTTTTCGACACCATTCGCGACACATATATGTGAACATTAAGGTTTGTCTTTACGCCAATCTTAAGCTCATATCATGCTACGAATTACACTGAGTTCAAAGAGAGAAGGTACCTCCTTCTCTCTGCAAAGGGGAAGAAAAGCGAGCAAAGTGAGGTAGCGTTGCGCGCGGGTGATACCCAATAGTTGTAGAGTGGATGGGATCCACAGATTTATAGAAATATTTATTAATATTTATTTATAGAAATCTGTGTGATGGGATCATTTCTGATAAGGGATATGCGCGACGAGTTTTCGCCCGTTCCGATTCTCTTCTCTTATTGAACTCAGTGTACTACAATTATATAGCCGATTGTAGCCGATCATTACCGAATTTAAGTCGAATATAGCCGAAGTCAACATCGCCATCCCCACAATGTTTTCCGTCCCTTTCCTCATTCTGAACACTCCCCTCGTCTAAAAGCCTACCTCGCGCTCCGTCCGTGTATTTTCTTACGTCCATGTTCTACCCTATCCACACAAAATTCTCTTTCAAAGAAAAGTGAACAAGAACAGTTAGAAGCAGAAATGAGTAGTGAACGTGAGCGAAACGAGTGTTCAATTGTACAATAATTATCAGTATCAGTAAAGTATAAGATACAATGCGGGAGCGGTCGTTTTGGTCGAATTACATTTAGCAACATCCGATATAAGTACATGGTGGCTATGGTATCTTTGCTTTATGCAGTTTCACGTAACTGCTTCAACAAGCTAGTCAAAGAATGTGTCTTCCGAGTGATCAGTGTGTTCTTTTCTATGAATGTTTTTCTTTCACCAAGTCTTTAGAAGATGTCTTACCGAAATCATTTCTATAAACGAGAAGAAAAGCAGATCTTAATTCTCTTTGCACCATCGTACTGCTACCGTATATTCGCAACTTCTATGTTTTTATGTATATACCTATATATAAACATTTTTTTAACATGCTTTTTTAAAGGCTTGTATCGATTTTGTGTGTGTTACTACTTATTCAGTGAATATAAAGTTCTGTTTGCGTTAACTCTAGATGATAACTGAGTAAAATTAAATTTATTTGTCATATTCTTTAAAAAACACAAACACATGCAAAATACATATACTATAAATTGTATTAATTCAGAGAGAAAGAGAGAGAAAGATTAAAGATTTAATTAAATTAACTTTTGCAATACTTGTAAAAGAGATGAAGAGAGTCAAAAAGATTAGATCATTAAATTAATTTTCAGTTTAGAGATTATTAGAATAACGAGGTCTATATATGTATATACATATATGTATATTTCAATTTTTGCATTAATAAAAATATTGAAATACGACCTTTATAGTGATCTATGTATTGTCTTTGTTGGTTTGTTCAGTCATTTATGCGCTTTTTATCACGTAACTACTAGTTTTAATTTTTAAAAATAATTGGTTAAACATGCTAAACTGTAATTTTAAGTACATGTATGATAATAATTTGGTATTTCGAATATTTTTGTCTCATGTAGTTGTGATTATATTTAAGACGTTCAAATTTTTTCGTAGTAGAAAAACACTTTAGTTGCTTTATATCAATATTTCAGAAAGAATGAATAAATATATTTACAAATAGTTTTGAAAAAAAATGTGAGTATTAAGAGTTTCCTAAATTTTTTCAGATCTGTGATTACTTTAAATACAATAGCATTTCTTCAATGACGTCAGGGAAGCCAATAAAAAGTCTACTGATTTGATTTCGACAGTCGACGGTTTGATCATTAGAAGAATTACTCAGGTAGAAACATCTCACGTATCCACAAGTAGAACTAGTTTTTTTTTTTTTTTCATGCCTTATTACATCATATTAAAGTGTCAAAACAAATAATTAGATTTACATAATAATTAGATTTAACGTGAGTATCTCTATCTGTTGTCTTGTACCTAATCACGACTTGTGTATAACCGTAACTTGAGCCGCTCTGCTTTTTATTGATCAAGATAGCTTTTTTTATTTGTTTGACAAAGAACATTAATTAATATTTACCGTACATAACTTAAATTATTTTTATAACACATTAATAACAATTTTTGCATGTCAATACACAAGTTTATCTAAACAAAAGGAAATAAAGTAGCAACGTTGAGCGTTTGAATCGATTTTTTAATATAGAAAATAGAGAACCAAATTTTTTTTACTTGACAACATGTTACATGTTTCTATTTGAATGTATTGTATTTAAAAGCATAAAAATCAACAAAAACTAAGCATAAACAAAATTGTGCATAACATGTTTCAGATTGAGAAGTTTTGATTTTTAAAAAACGTGACAGCTTTCGATCAACTTTCAAAAGCGTTTAAATTACATGTTAAAATGAAACATATGTAAAATGTATTCGTCTCTTCTTGCAACGACAAAATGATCAAACATTTAACGTGCTGCTATGCGAAAACACGTCGGTATTCAACGTGCACGCATCGAGACAGTTTCATCGATCCACTCACACACACACGCACACCTCTCTTTTTCTTCCTTTTTCTTCTTTTCTCTTTTTTGCCATTTGCATAGTTTTTCTTTTATTTATAACACTTGCTTTTTTTTTTTATCTGTATTTACTACTAACACCTATATCTACGTTCCTAACGCGGTTTGCTTCTTGGAATTAGCGCGTTTTATAATTATATTAATTATATATTTATTTACTTATATATATTCAATGTATAATCCATAAATTCAATACACATTGTATTATAAAGAAAAGCAATTTGAGTGCGTTGCTTGTCAAGATACGCGACATAAAAATGATTGACGTGTCTGCAAAATAATACAGTTAGAAGTAGCCGGTCTGTATCTCATTGGCAACTAATATTCGAATCTTTTACCACACCCTTTATTTCGATTTGACCTAGAATCTAAGAGGTAGGTGCGGCATTCCTAGACAATCACTGAACTTTCTTACAAATTGTTTGTGATAACTTAAATCAACCACGACAAGAAAAAGAAGCAAAAGATCTAACCGATCGTTTTGTACGACATTTTTTTGCGCTCATAGATCCTAGAATGACGGAAATCGAAAGTTGTGTCAATATCTCTGGTAGAGAGATCAGAAACTAACTTGCATTACACATCACTAAGTCAAACATGTATAATCGATATCTTTGAACGTGATTGTATCAAAGGAGTTTTTTTCTTTTTTGTTTGTTCTTTTCTCTCTCGGAGAAATCATTCGTTACTCTTCGATAGAGAATTTGAGCAAAGAATCAAAACGGCGGGGTTGGATAAATTTTTCGACGCGTTGATTTTTTCAATCGAATCATTCTAATGATGATTGTTTTGTGTTTTTCAAAGACAAACAAAAATTTAATTTTTTTAGTGCCCATGTTTGTGCGAGCTACGCACCGTGATCACGCAGTCTCACTGCCAAATATGGCTAGCCGCGGTATTCTTAGCACTGCTCGAGCGCCAACGACAGTGGACGAAGCGGCCCGACGAGTATACCTTTCGTCGTCTTCGCCTTCGTCTTCTCGCCTTCAGTTTTGTCCCTTTCATTTTTCTCTTTGTCGACATTGTTGTTATTGTCGTCATCGTCATTGGAGTTATCGCAGTAAAGATCGAAGTAGAATGAAACTGTTTAGAAGTGATATACAAGGAACGCGGAATACTGAGACACGAAACGTAAACGTAAAAGGCTAAACTAATCCGAGTAAAGTATACACTTAATTCTTACATAGATTGTAACTCGTGCTTTACAAGATATATGTAAAAATCATAAAATCGAGTAAAACAGTTTTAAATAAAAGAAAGCAAACGTTAAGTGAACAATTCTATAGACAGTACTATCCCATTTACTAAAAATATAGGCAATATTTTTTATTGATCGTGGATGGTTTGTTTCTTTTTTTATCTTAACATTAGTGTCGTTAAGAGCAAGAGACCGTTTTTAGTATCGTGTATCAGCTCTTTAACGCCAATTAGGCCATAATTAATTGATCGTGTCGAGAGCAGCCGAGGTTATTACGGTCAGCGACGGTAGTCAACCTATAGTTTGCTTCAACGAAATTGTTAACGATATGCAGTTTTCTTACGATTAAATAAAACTCTAATCAATGAACAGTTTTTAAGAAGAAAAACATTTTTATGCAGCATTAATTTTCTTTTGTTTTGTTAACGGTTACGAAGTATTGTTCGACTTTATAAAGAGAAAAGTCTCGATACATATTATAAATCTCACTATGATTAATCTATTGTTTATATCTTGAGTTAAAGTTTTTCATTATAATTTACTGTTTGTATACCGACGACAAAAGACCAGCTTGTTTTTTTTTTTTTATTAAAGCAGATCACACACACACACACACACACACACACACAGATGACTCTATTCTAAATTTGTTATTTAATTAATTTTTTAGTTGGACAATAAATTACAACAATAAAGTTTTTATTTCAATTTATTGTTCGCACGCGTTCATACTGATCTGTCTACATAAATATCTTTTTGGTACTTGAGTAGACAAACTTACTATAAATGATTTGTATTCTTTCAGGTCACTGTTCGAGTTATAGCTAAGCTGATCATAAATTTGACGCGCAATGTTAGTCAAATCAAGCCACCGAAAAATAGTGAAATAATAACAATAATAAAAAGAATAAAAACAAAAAGATCGAAAGAAAAAATATGATTGAAAAAAAAAACAATGACCGATCAATATAATAAGATTATGAAAAATTGTAGAATCGCCAGGTGGTTGTGAGAAATGAAATTCTTAGGCCAGCTGGCCTGAGATATGCCAGCAATTACGATAACGCCTCGACAATCCTCAAGGCAGCCATCGTTATTGCTATTAAACAACGAAACAGTGACGGCTGAACAGTGTCTCTCGTTATCACCGTTGTCTTGGGGTTGTCGGGTCTACGTGACCCGACATGTTCTGTTCGTGTCAGCGCTCGTCAACCCGCGGCCGAGCAGAGCGATACACTGTCCGGATCTGAACGCTTGCTTGGTGAACGAGTTACATCTGGAAAGTAATCCGGTAGACTGTCGAACTATCCACTTTGGCTACGCGATTCCGATTAACGTGGTGCCGGTTTGCAACAGCCCCGAGCTGGTCGAACTTGTGGTTGATCAAGATTCAAGCGAGTTGAGCAGCCAGACGGTAAACTTCCTCATCAATCATCATCCGCAACTGCGTCAACGACGACGTTTCCATGAAAAAATGGCTGCTACGGCTAAACACGATCTACGTCGGAAGTTCCCCGCGGACACTTCCAATTCCGGAGAAGAGGACATCGCCGCTATTGCTAAGCAGATTAGCGATCATGCGGAAGCAATCTATCAAACGTGGAAGAGTCGTGGATTGGCGCCGACGGAAATCTTGACCTGTCATAGCAACGCGACTGCCGCCGACAAGTTTGGCAGCGCGTTGACACCTTGCAGTTCGTCCGGTAACAATTCCGGAAGTATTAGCGATTGTTCTCAGACAGCGGTAGACATACTGTCGCAAGCCCCGAATTTGGATAACGGCAACCTTGAGAAACTAGTCAACAACTTTGTGGTAGAAGATAAAGCTAGAATAGCAGCTTCTAAGCAACGGTCACCGTCGAAGCCGCTACCGTCTTCCATACAATTCGCTCTGCAAAAGTTCGAGAGGAGTTCTATGCAGCAAACAACTGCTACGACTCCTACGAAGAACAACATAACCGCAGCCGACACTTCCAAAAAAATGTCTAATTTGTTGTCATCCACCTCACCGTTTACGAATAAACCGTTGCAAACAGTGATGAAATCTCAAGTCTCCGCAAAGACGCCTGGTGCTCATCACTGCGAAGTCTTCCTGGAAACAATCGAAACCACTTTTCCGGCTGATTTAACGCCTTCCAAGAGACAAGTGAGTCCGCAGAAAAGACCTACGAGTACGCTAATTGCGTCTCCCACGAGTTCCTTGTTGGACATCGACTCTTCTCATTCGACGTCAACGAGTTCGGGTTTGTCAACGTGGCCGTTGAAGAACAAACTACACGATGGCAAAAGAATCGTGGATTCGTCCCGCGCAGTTAAAACGTCGCAAGAAGACACCGCAAAAGACAAGAAAAAATCAACAATAACGTTGAGGTGCGCGTACTTGGACGAAGTAGCGCGAGAAGAAGAAAGACTGATAAATGCTCTGAAGACAGGCGTTGTCATCACTGAGGAAGCGGATAGAACGGATTGTACGCGCAGCAAGCAGAAGCCGGCTATTAAACGGGAAAAACCGAAGATCGATTCGATCAAACAGATCATCATCAGTGGTCGTAATCATCAAAGTGCCAACGCGACAGTATCCAGTTCGCCCGTATCCACTTTAACACCGAATACGACAGTTAATACTGACAGCGCTGCCACCACAGCTATCGGTCGTGTTCCACTAGTCAATGACTCAAAATCGCTCAATAAAGATGATTTTTCCAATCTGTCGGCAGTGGATTATGCCAAAATCAGGTATCAAGCTGCTCAGCAGAGCCAACAGAAGGAACAACGAGCCTCTTTTGGTCATCCGTATAACGCCGGGTCGCAAACGGAGCAGCTGGTCTCCAGCGCAAAAAGCAAGTTCGAGATGGAGATACAAAGAGATAAGAACAAGGATATGAAGGAGTTGGATAGAGATCCGGTGACCTCAAGATGGGGACCAAGAATTAACTCTTCGCGGCCGCGTCTGGAGCAAGCTGTGCCCCATCCCGAGTTGACAAACCAACAGAAGCAACACATAAGGGCCGCGGCGACGGGAACTGGCAACAACCCTATCAGACCGTTCCTCACTAGAGGTTCCGTTGCGGAGCGTGTGCTTATCTTTGAGAAGTGTCCGAGCGAGTTGCTATTGGATAAGCGCGGTCCGCGCCAACCAGCCATTAACACGTGGAGAAGTGGCCACGAGGTGCAGAGTAAAGCTCAGGTAATTTTTTCAACTTTTCATTGAGAGATTGATTTTTTTTTTAATTTTTGTCTTATTCAAAATTGTGAAATAAACATCTCATATTTTTGAAATTTTATTTCTTACGTTAATTTAAAAAAATATATATTTGACCGCTATTTGAAATATTGGTTATTTACGGAAAAGTCATTTGTTTTTGAAAAGTTTGTTTTCAAGATTTTTTTTTTTTTTTTTTTTATAAGAGAGTTCTAAATGTTGCCTGTAAATGAATTCTCGCAAAAGCTTTTACACTCCAAAGTGATCGACTGATACTTCAAAGATACTATTATAAAAGGTATATCGAACGAGAATAAAATAACGTAACGCGGTTGCGGTGATGTAACAAGTTCTACATTAAGGTGTAGCATCATTATGCATTAATCGCCACTTTTCTTCGAAACGTTTTTATATCTTGTAGGATCTTGTTATGGCGTATTCTTGTCGATAGCTTTGACAAACTTGCAGAATGCGGTTCTCATTTAATTCACAGTACTGCAAAAACGTAGATAGTTGAAAATGTAATGCACATTAAAAAAAATTGTCACAATTATATTATATTATATTATATTATATTATATTATATTATATATTATAAATCTATTTGAAAGTTCTGGTTTTCTATTCTAGACTTATGCGAAAGAAAAAACTCAGCAAAAGAGTATACCTCCACATACAACTTTACAGAGACAAGTAAAAGCCAACAGAAATGTTTACATACCGAGGTTTGTACTATATTATAATTGTGACACGAAAAATCACATTGATTAATTTAATTAAGTGATAAACTTGTGTTACTTTATTTTTAGGTTTTATTTTCCCGGAGGAAAGCCTATACCTATCACGCAAATGGAGACAACCGTATCCAAGATTACCGCAGCCTTTCAAAGTTTACCAAATTACCGTGCTTTGCGCGCTCAATTTCATATAATCACTAAGGTCAGAGCTTAATATCAGTAATGTTAGTTTATATAACTGTAATGTATTTTCTGCGATAAAATAAATTACATCAATTTTGTTTCTTATGTAGGCTTGCGACTTGCCTTTGTATTGGAAAGTTCCACTCTTTTTGGCGGCCAATGGCGAGCAGAAAGGATATGTTGAGATGAATGCTTTCCTAGAATTTTGGAAAGAGTAAGGATATACGTAATACATACATAAAGAAAAAATGTTAAAACACAATAAATAAATTCATTGTAAATGCATATTAAAAAATTTTGCCTAAAAATTTGAAGAAAAAAGTATTCGTAATAAGAAATACTGTTTATTTAAAAGTAAGAAATGAATCCAATTTTAGAAAATTATTTTTTTTAATTCAATTGTCAATTGTTATATAGATTGAGTGCCACTCATCACGATGCAGCTAGTAAATTTGTCAGAATTATTACTCGGGGAGTTCGAAATCATATATTTCCAGAAGACTTGATCCCACTCGTACAAGATGTAGTGGAAACGCACCCAGGATTGACATTTTTAAAAGAAGCTACTGAATTCCATTCTCGCTATGTGCACACGGTTCGTATGAAGTAACCATATCTCACATTTAATCTAATCAACATTTTTGAGATTTATAAACAAATACAGGTAGATAATTATCAGCTCAATATAAATTTTCATACAATTAAATAATTTCAGGTGATTGCTAGAATATTTTATTGTGTAAACCGTAGTTGGAGCGGTAGAATCTCGATTGCGGAATTAAGAAGAAGCAATCTGTTGTCAGTGATTGCTATACTTGAACACGAGGAAGATATTAATCAAGTTACTGCTTACTTTAGCTATGAACACTTCTACGTAATATATTGCAAATTTTGGGAATTGGATCGTGATCACGATCTCTTTATAGATAAAATGGATCTGACGAGACACAATGATCATGGTGAGGGGGAGAGAAGATATATTCTGCAATTAAAATATATTACTTCTCTTGATCTACACTTGATCTTAATTATCTTTCTTTATTGCGTTCAGCTTTGTCAACTCGAATGATTGAGAGAATATTCAGCGGCGCCGTAACGAGAGGTAGTAGAGTAAAAAACAGCAATGTGCAACAGCCGGAAGACAAGATGAGTTATACCGAATTTGTATGGTTTCTTCTCAGTGAGGAAGACAAAACTCATCCAACGGCTATTGAATATTGGTTTAGGTAATTATTCAGAGCGTTGTTCATACATATATATATATGTATGTATATATATGTATATACGTATGTATATATGTATACATGTGTGTATATATATATATATATACATGTATACATATATACATACAGGGAAGCAGTAGTACTTAGTCTACGTTACTGTCGTTTGCCTTTTAGTACGTGTTATAATTTTTCGTCGATAGATGCATGGATCTCGACGGAGATGGTTATTTGTCGATGTACGAATTGGAGTATTTTTATGAAGAGCAATTACGTCGAATGGAAGCGATCGGTCTGGAAACGTTGCCCTTTGAAGATTGTCTTTGTCAGGTAATTGTGTCAAAATTATGCCAACATTGATGCTTTATTTTATATTTTTTTATTGATAACTTTTTTACTTTTTACTGAAATGCGCAGTGTATCGAATGAGAATGAACAATGAGAACAAAATTAATGACTAATGAAAGAGAACACACACGTATTTCTTTCAGATGTTGGATATGATTCACCCAGCAATACCGGACAAGATATCCTTGAGTGATTTGAAGAAATGTAAAATGACGTCCATCTTCTTCGATACTTTCTTCAATCTGGAGAAATATCTGGATCACGAGCAAAGAGATCCGTTTGCTTCAACAAGAGATCACGACGCTGACGGTCATGAAGTACGTATAATTATATTTATCTTACTTTTTTTTACGCATCTATAAATACAATACATACATATGTAAATCTTTTACTTTTGTGCAGCTTTCGGACTGGGACCGATTTGCAGCAGAAGAATACGAATTGTTAGTTGCTGAAGAAAGTGGAAATGAACAACAAGAACAAATGTAAGTATTTGCATTAATATGTTATAATATGTTATATAAACTTGTTAATCAGTTTAATTAAGAAACTATGATTAGCTGTAAATTATATTTAAATACACGAGATCACTTAACTGTACATATTTTTGTACAGGCTATATTTAAATATTATTTCTCCAAAATATTACACATGTACATATTTATATAATACGATTCCGGATTTTTGTTTTACATATTGACTGCCTATTGTGTTGTAGATGAGTAGATATTTTATATCTTGCTCGACTAACACACAAAGAATACTACTATTGTATTTGCAAATGATCATCTTAGTTCAAGAATTCCGGAAATTTGCAAATTCAATTGTTTGTTATTTTAAATGTATGTCTATAAATATTGAGAATCTGTCAGGCTCTTGTATCTACTAAAATTCTACAAGTTTAGAAACATTTTTTTGGCTCTCTTTGTTAACTATTTCCGATTATTTGAAAAATATTTTCAGCTACAGAAACGATTGTTATATATCGAAATGCATTAATGATGTCTGATACTTTTACAAAACAGTTTTTTTACTTTGTCGAGTCATTTATCATGTTTGGTGAATTACTGATGACTCCCCACACAGAACAAAAACTCCATTAGACATCTATTAGACATCCACAGCTCCATTCAACATCTAATAGATGTCTAATGGATATCTGTGTGGGTCATAGCAAATTTTCTCGTTCAAGGTATTTCCGACTTCAATTAAACAAAAAGGTAAAAAAAAGAACATAATGGTAAAATATATCGATCAATGTGTATATACGAGCAAAAAAGTAACCGACTATTTTGCTTTAGTTGAAATATATTGCGGAAAGAAGAAAAGAAACAAACAAATTTTGTATAAATAAATTATACATGTATATTTAAATGTTCTAGGTAAAAATAATAACTTTGTTTTTTTTTTTTTTTTTTTTTTAAAGAAAGAGAAAAAAAGAGAATTTTATTCTGGACATCATTAATCTATATATGTGTATTTTCTTTTTATCGTATACTTGTAATAAATTACGATACATTTCTTGCAGGCTGTGTGATGATGAAATGTAACCATCATCTACAGCTGAGTAAGTAAAGTATAAAACCTGTACTAAAACGATGCATGTAAATGTAAACAATTTGCTTTAACACACATGCGTTAAGGAGGTCCTGGAGCGTACTGCATATATCGTGACTACTGTTACCGATACAACATCAACTATAGAGCGTCGTTAGAGAAACAAGGACATACATATGTATAAAGAGGTTATATTAGATTTAAACGTATTATAGATTATTTGTATATTGTAGGCTTCCAAATCATAGACTAATAGTCTTATTACATTCTTCAATGTTATGTCTATCTCGAATACGTTTTGGTTTTTATGAATAACTCTTGAACTTCAAATATCAGTACACTAAAAGTAGAGGTGATTGTTAACTTCAACAATTTTTGTTATGTTTTCGATATATTGAAAAGTTTGAGATTAATTTCATTATTTTCTTTTATTCTGTAGAGCCATTTTTTTTATCCGATAAATACAAAATGCAATCTAAAATACGAATTACTCGTTCGATCGGTATAACAGGAAGGTCCAGTACCCTCTTTCATTGTTTCAACAACTTATATCACTTTTTCAAATCAAAAACAAGTTTTTAGATAGATAAAAGCATTCTCCTTTATCTGATTTTTTAGATGCTTATTTTTGCACATAGTTTCATGACTAAAATGAAAAAATATCGATTAAAATCTTTACTATTTCATGGAAAAAGAAAAACAACAAATACTTTTTTTTGTTTCTTTTTCAAAGTTTTTTTTTGATATACCTTTACGAATTTTTTATTTTTTTATATTTTGAATGTATCTTATAATTCTACTACATTTTGTGATAAATATCTTGTGCGCTTTTTGGCATGATAGCTTGTGACATTTGAGTTTTGATATTGTGCAAATACACGCGTAAATTTTTTATTGTTGGAAAAAGTAATAAATTATCTCCTTTTGTTAGAGTCAAAAATTAGGTTCTCGTTATATTTTATGATATGATGTTTATTTTTGCAGTTTATATAATGTTTCATCGTGGGAATTGTCACCAGAAGTGAACATTTTAATGGACAACTCGATAGATATCAAAGATGCGAAGTTATTACTGAGTTCATCGGACACTTGTGCGCACCAAGAAGCAGAGCAGCACGACGACAGTGACGACAGCGACGATTACGCTGATAGCGACAATTAATTTGTTGAGAATGTAAATATTTCTTTGTGAGAGCTATATTAGTTATGAAAACGATAACGGTAACACATTCAAGGAAAAAAAACTTGATCAGAGTCTATCATTTTTTCAAGTTTTGATAAGATTTTCTGAAAATTTTCTCTGAGAATTTTGGATCAATTCTCAGAAAAAGACTATAAAACTATAAATTCCCAGAGAAAATTTCACACACATTTTTTTTTCAAAATTTTCTAGACAGTAAACACATTAGCCCACTAGGAATCTATCTCTGCTGTCCCATAACAATGTGATACGTAGAACATTATTCAACGTGCACGGATTACTATATACTACAGAGTAAGCGATGTTTATTATCGCAATTGACGCTTTTATGCGTTTGCGCAACGACATCAGTTTGGAATATCTGCAGCCGATTGCATTTTTATACGAGTATAACAAGATAAGTTGTTTTTTTAAATAGTTTTAATGTAAGTGACGATATAATAATGGACGTGCACACTTTGTAAATAAGTTATTTTATATAACACTTTTGTAGAGATTATACAAAACTTCTCTGTAAGGCTACAATCAAGTGAAAAGAACAGCCCTTCAAGAAAGATCTATTATATATTACATAATTACTTGTATATAATATCCATTTTCAATTAGTTATCGCGACAGAATTGTAGAGTATAAATTCTCGAATGTTGGAGAGTTGACGAAACGAATAAGGAAAGTTATTTTCCTACTAATTTTTACTTCTCTCACTGTATGGATGTTATCTCGCCATATCAATCTATTTCTAATAACTGTACATGTATAAACATGCGTATGTGTGAAAATGTGTTACACATACAAGTGTTTACACACATTCTCTCTTATTTATAACATTTCAATATATTTCTATATATTTGGTAAAAATAATGATTATATAAAATTAAAATTATTATTTTACTTTCGTTTCCTAGTCATACGTTTATATTAGTTTGGAACTACTCACGAGATTAAACATCGACACTGGGTACCAGTGAAGTTTGTTTAAGTCTCTAATTTCTCCAATTATATAGTGATATATGTGCACAGTATATCACATTTGATTTTACTGGACAGTGAACCTTCTTGCTATAATTCTCTTCTTATTATAATTAAAGTTTCTCGATATCTGAGCGCCAAGTCCGATTTGACAGTAGCGATGTCGATCGTCATGAAACTTGATAATATGCATAGAAAGCACGAGGTCTTTCACGTTACTAATACTTTTTGCACTTAGAATAAGATAGATATCTATGTTCATACTTTGATAAGAGAAAAAAATAAAGTGCAAAACAAAGTCTAAAAAATACAAACACGTGCATGGGTCTGCGTGTCACGAGGCAGTCAGAAATGGTCTGAAAACATACCAAAAGCTTCGTGCGCTTTATATAAAAAGAAAAATTTTAGCGACAAATTAAGAAAGAATTTGTTCAAATGACGAAGCACGCTTGTAAGAGATCGGAAACTTTGTTTAGAGTATAAGTTGATTTAACGTAAGAAACGCAAGATCGAAGCATGATTCGGCATAATTGTTAAAATATCTGTGACAAGCCTACGTTCGCTTTCATTGTGTGGAAAGCCTAGGTTTCATTGGAAAATCAATAGAAAAGTTTTCGGTATATTTTAATAAAAGAAAGAGTGTGCTCTTGATTCAGTACATGCGTTTATATAGAAGTGACCTTTTATTTTTTACACAAAATGCACGAAACTTTCGCGTATTTTTCTCGCTTGTGATATCATCAATCCAAAATTGCGGAAATATCGAGGAGCTTTAACGAAAACCAGAATACCTACAAATCTGAATAAATTACGTAATGTTTAAGATATACTTCTATTTAATATTGAATTATAAATATTGTAGCAAATTAATATTCGTTATCAGATTATTATTATATACGTGCACGCATGGTACGCAGAATGTCTACCGTGGAAAAAATTTTGAACAAGTCTCTGATTATTTGTATTTATATTTGTGAACGAAGCTTAGCGCAAGTTTTTGTCACAAGTAATTTCAATATAAATCTTTTCTGCTTATAGAATGCCAAAAATATATATTAAACACAATTTAATCTCTTATTTTACTTGAAAAGTACTGAAAAAGAAATTACTACCTTTTTTCCAAAAGATGAAAAGACAAATTGTTTGGGTCAATCTTAAGGTCAAAGGTTTTAATATAAATTACTCTCTGAAATATTAAAACTCAGAGAATTCTCTCATTTTTTCAAATATTGCAATCTTTGACAGTTTCAAATTTTCCAAGTAGTAGATATTCGAGACGAGATTTCATTGATAACTTTAGCATTGATATAGTGTTAATAAATATGTTATTGTATTCGTTGTTATCTATGTTGTTATTGTATAAATTGATACATGTACGAAGTGATATTTAACGGTCAAACAGCCTTTATGTTGCGTTTATTAGACAAACTGTTGTCTGCCATTTTAACACCTGTGTATTTGTAAGAATCATTATAATTTATCGTTAAGGCTCCTGGTTTTTTTATTACAATATTGGGAACGAGAGAAAGCTAGTTAATTAAATGTCTTTCATTTTATATTGCGTGATAAATTAATTGTTTCGCGTTTTGTTGCATCACCACTCGCAGATTTTGCAATATATATGTCAAATATGTATACTTTTGCCAGGAGTCTTAAATATTCACTATAGTAACGACAAAAGTCTTTACATGCACTCGTATTGTTTATTTACACACACACAAAATGTATTATATATAATAAATATTTTATATATACTATATATAATATTTATTATATATATTATATACATTTATACATATTTATACGTATTGCTATAACACATAATCCGAAAAAAGAATAAAAAGTTATTCGTTGCTTGAATTTTTTTAGTTGACAGTTTCAATAGATATAGATGTACAGCAGACAAATTTTCAGATAAGATCTTGCGTTACACACAAACACAAACACACACACACACACAAAGATATTTATTTTATACAATGTAAGAATTTTTTAATTGTTTTTGTTAGATGTAGTTTACTTGATGCCATTGAAAGATGCCAATATTTTCTTGTAATAACGAGAAAATAATTTATATGTCTAATTAAGTTATTAAATTATTTATAATTTATTAAAGAATTATTTAAATAAATAATTTAGAGTACTCTTTTAGAGTTTTCTTTTAACGTTACATTGTGTCGAAATATATATTATATCGCAAAAAATAAATTTTGTTGGCTATTTGAAGAGATGTAAGTATAATGATGTGTAACGCGCGTGTAAAATATTGTTTGTAGCACACGGCACGATAAAATTTCTATATGTAATCACATATTTTTTATTATATATTATTGTATTATTTTATGTATTTTATGTTTTATTACTAAATCACATGCTGTATTCTTGCATATTTACATAATGTGTTATCTCTTTCTCTTTCAATATTGCAGTTTTTTTAAAAATAGCAGAGATAAGACGAAGTAATATCCGATTGTTGATGTTTTATGGTTGTTTTTTATTATTATATTTATGCGCGATAAAGACTCTATATCTTTTTATTCGATGAAATTGTTACGAGTCTATCGTTGGTCTTTGTTTTTGTATGTGTTTCAGTCGAGAGAGCACTATAATTTATATCTATATTATAAATACAATATTATATACTACTTTAATATATGAAACGCGTCTTACAAAAAAAAATATTTTTTTCTTTTTATTTTTTTTTACAAACTTCAGGAAAGGCTGATATTTTCTTATTTTTAATAAGTGTCCATCACATTGATTTGATTCAGTATATCTTGACGTATTTTTGTGTAATACTTTATCTGTAGATAAACTGAGGAAGTTTGCAAAAATAAAAAATATAAATAAAAAATTTAAAAAATATCGAGAAAGCAGCGAGAAATGCATCTTTATCTATCCATTGTGATTTTTTCTTAATTTATAATGATCCTTGCTGTGTGTTGTTTCAAGTCGATAATCACTCGAATACTAGTCCTATGCAGGACTATTGAACAGGAGATCTCTGAGTTTGAATCTCCGATGATATCCGAATTTTTTCGAACGAATGATTTCTTTCGAAAACTAATAGCAAATTATCGAGATAATAATCTATTACGAAATAAACTGTGAAATATACTGTGGTATGTGGATGTAATCGCACTACAAAAAAGTTCCGTACAGATTTTATCTTACGAGGATATTTGCATTGGTTCAAGGCACAAATGATAAATTGTCCGCGCACTTTTACTCAACAAAGCATGACGCAACTTTGGATTCTTTTTAGAGATGGTAAGTACGTTTTTCGTTGATATTTTACACGCAAATTCAATATAATACCACTTTTATTTTTGTTTTTAATTTCCCAAAACGATCGTGTTATTTTCTCTATTCTATAATTCAGCTTCAATTTATATCAATACACAATTGTGAACTTATATTATCATAAAACTTCACTCTAGAGTAATATTAAAAAATTTATGAATTTAAAACGAACTTTGTATTTGCCTTGAAAAATACTCTTCTTCCTATATTACGAACGAATAGATTTATTTTATATATTTAAAGATTCCGCTCTCGCTTACACTACTTCGCAGAAACGTTTCTCGTCACTACTCTCATTTTATGTAGAGCTATGATATTATCCTAGTATTAAACCGGATTACATTTATAAAAATACGTAACCACGTGGTATATCACGACGATCTTTTTTACAATGCTACCAGGCTCCGGACACGTGCAAAAACTGCGCGAACACATCTGTACACTGTCAGAGAAAGAGACGAAGAAAAGGTAATATATCTAATATGAACCAGTTATTTCTGAATGTTTTTCATAAAACCGGATAAGAACTTTTATTATGCATCTTTCGAATCAATACTTGTAAGATTTATTACTTTATCAATCGCCATATAAAATAATCGTATCTAAACGCCGTAATTATGCATATTTGAAAGGATTTGCAGCAAAAAGTTTGTAATCTTTAAAAGAGATTACATAACATTCGAGATTATTACAAATCAGATGTTTATTTGTTATATGCAAATATGAATGTTGTGTTTTGAATGTTATTAGAAAATTTACACTTAAATTATTTTTATTATATCTAGTATCGAAAGTGAAGAAAATAAATCTATAAATCGGCGTGTTATTGCAGGACGATGTCGTTCTAAGATTGTTCCATCACCAAGTTCGAAGATGCAAAAGAGTATATATAAATATATATATTAATAAATATATATTAATTGCTCGTGAAAGCAGCTATTATTCCTATATACTTCAAAACTAATTTTGAAGAAATGTACTAATCACAAAATTACAAAATCGAATTATTTGACAAGTTTTCTTCACATTAAATGTGTAAAATGTACTTAAAAAAAAAAAATAAAAAAAAGATATTACGTCTAAGAAATGAGGTTTTAGTTTATATTAAAATAGAATGTGAATGTTTGCAATCATATGTGTGTTAAATAAAAAATGTGTTTTTGTAACTTACATATTTTTCTAGTAGATTTGCTTACAAGTGTCTTTATAAACATTAAAACGATTATTTAAGGCAAGGATATCTTACTTCGTTACTCGTGATTTCTTTCTTTAGACTGGACCGTCGTGCGTTGACGTACAATATGTGTTGACGTATAAAACATTTTTACCAAAAGCAGGACAGCACGTATGCAAGCATGCTATAGTGTATATAACTAGACGTTATAAAGAATAAATGAAGGACTAGGAATCTTAATGGATCCTGTTGCACTTTCAAACCACTTCTGTTCGAACTATTTGTGCCAAGAAAAGTTCCGTGTTTGTAAAAATGCTCCAATAGCGCTTCTTTTTCTACCCACCTGTCGTACAACCATTTGGACAATTGTTCTGGCTCGCGTGGGACCTTCAAAAATTGTGGTTTACATTGAAGAGAATCCGCAGAAATATGTTAGCAATGCCTCATCATATATGTATACAAATGCTATTTATATAAATTTCCGTTTCACTAATTTAAATTTATGTCGCGCTAATGTCATCATAAACAAATAACGCAACAGATGTAATACATGATTAGACAGTTTTGAATATATGTTAAGTCACTTACCACTGTACTAGGGAAAAGTCGATAGAACAATACCGTCTCGCACGGCGGTCTTGAGCCAGTTATAATTGTAGGTAAGTCAAGCGGCTTACCTTGAGGATATGCTATTGTGATATCGAGAACCCAACTAATTTCTGGCTTAGCTACTGTCATATCTGTCAATATATCAAACATTGCATAAATTATTAAATAAAATAATATATATAATAAAATATATCTAATTAAAATTAATAATAAATTACAATATTTTAGTGTAAAAGATAACGTGATCAGATCGAATAGAATATTGTAAACGTAAGTTATTAGCAAGCCACTGCGATGGCTCTAGTACCAATTTATTTGTTATTGTTCATTTACCAGATCGGTTGAGTAATGAACTGTTTTCTTGTTGATCTATGTCTTTTTTCTGTGTTGGTCCAAGAGTGTCAAATATCGTTTGCATGGCTCCTACTCTGGGCAGAGTCACGTTTTCGAGAATAGGCAGATTATTTTTTTTCGCATACTTTTGAGAGGTCTCTCGTCTTTTGCATAAGAAACCTCCTTCAGGAAATAGCACCATCCATTTTCTATTCCGTGGTATATAAGACTCTTTAAGATGTTTTTCTAATTGCTTTAAACTCTCCTCTCTTCGTTTACGACCCTGAAGTTATCTAATATATAATGACTGAAGAAATAACAGATAATCTGTATTCTACATCAAACTATATCATAAAAAAACAAGCAGAAACAATGTAGACTGTATTTAACTTTTTGTAAGTATAGAATGTACTGCAACATTTGCATAAAAAAGTGCTATTATTATATATACAGGGTGTCCCAGAATGGCCGTACAATCTCTCGTAGGCAGGTAGAAGGAGTAAAACTGAATCGAAAAGTCTTATACCATTTTGCTAGATTCGCAATAGTTACTGAGATTTTAATTAACAAAGATCCGCGAATAAGCATGCATCGG